TAATTCTAAGAGAATGATATTGAAATTTTCCAAAACAAAACGGAAATGAGGTGAATAAGAATCATAGATTAGGTGGAACAAGACGGCAGCTTGATGAAAGTGAATTCGGAAAGCGCAAATTATTTCTTGACCAATGAATTAAAATCTTTAAGATCTTTTAATTATTTTGTTCATAACCTCTTAAATAATTATTTAACCATAAAATAAAAGCCCTATTTCTAACTCTCAACATTATAAACCGGTTTCAAAACATAGGTGCTGGATGATCAAAGAAATAATTATAAAATATGAAGCAAAAACTCACTCGTTTCATTCCAAGGAGATCTCTTCCGATACTTCCTGGTTTTCTGTCCTCTCGTAAGTCGCAAAACTAGCGAAATGAAGTGACTGGCTGATCACAATTCTCGATAGAAAGCTGCGATAGCTTCAAGAGCGTCTGTTCTCACGTAAACCTGTGAGGGGTCTGATTTGTGTTACTACAACGCCAAACACAAACGCTTCCAGGAGAAAGCGCGCATTTCCCTGGTACCGTGCAACACATGCGCCAGTGTGACGTCACAGAACGAAGTGGAAACTTCGCGCTACTGACGATGTTGGCCTTGAGTGGTCAAATCAAATGGGGGCCAGTGTTAAAGATCCATTCCGGCGCATTATGTTATTATTAAGTGATCCCAGTTGTAAGTGTAAATGAAAATTAAATCCAATAATTCAATAATCTCAGAAAAAGGTGAAATTCAATGAAAAAAGCTCTTTGTCTGAGCGTAAATCGGTGACTTTTTTGTCTTTAATCCTTTCCCATAGCAACAGAGATAATCTGGAAGCTGGAGCATGTTTTCTATTACTTATAGATCTTCTTAACTTTAAGCTGAACTACGAGGGAAAATGGTCCGTATCTATTAAGATGCACATGTACCTTGAAAGGGGAATAGTATCTATTCATTATTTGACTATCAAAAGCTATTCCAAGTTGAATAAGAATGACAATGCTGTCAACAATTTAAAAAATAAATGTTCCTTCTCGAGTTTAAGGTATATATTTTCAAACCTCTCAGAGAACCATAATTTGAAGTGACTTGAAACTATTGCAGAGTATGGGCTAACACAAATCACATTTTATAATAATTCTTCTTGATCTCTAGACAAAATATACTGCCTATAGTCAGTTGACATTTACTGAAACACTCTTTAGCATGCAGTAATACGGGAAACAGGTTTCTACGCCTACATCAAGGAAAAATGGTATGATGGTCGCAAAATAAAACATGTAGCACGTGACATGTTTTATTGTCTCTTGGGATGAAAAGGTCTCATATTACAGCGCTAAAACAGTCTTTGAATATTCAACCAGTCAGCAGTGGTACGTCCTTGCCCTTACTGGCTCACTCAGTTTGTTCCTTTTTTTCGAAATCAAAGACAACCAAGTTGGCCCCAAATAAGGATTATACTGACGTCAAGTAAAACCGATTGAAGAGATTCAAGTTATCCAAACGCATTAATTCATACAAATCACCATCATTACAGTCAACGTTGGGACAATATACAGTAATAATATACAGCTATAATGTATGCAGACACAGTTTCTCCCAAGGAAGCTGGAATTGTCTGATCTTTCCAAAATTTGCTTTACTCGCCTTGTAAATTTATTCAAAAGAGGTTTCACTCCATGCAGCAGGCTGTAAACATGTAGTTTATAGCTACAGTTTTGGATAAACATAAAACACCTACAGATATTGCAAAACTTAACAAAAAGGACAGGGCAGGGTAAAAGGGAAAAGGGGAGAGGGGGACAAAAGATGCAGAAGATTTGTTATAAAATAAGTTACACATGCTTGTTATAAAATAGACAACTGAGGGTTTATCATTTTGGAGTGGCCCCTCTCTTCAATTTTGTTAGAGAGTCATGCGAATTTTTGCAGAGAAGTACCAAAAGGACTAATAAACATAGTGTATAGATAGTTCTGAAAATTAAGTGTGAGCACGCTTAGAAATGCTATATCCAAAGACGATACTCATAATAAACTAAACATCATACGATAAATATACCAAAAAAAATCATAAAATATTAAGGTTGCTTTCAAGCACGTCAAAATTCATGTATAGGAATTTGCGGCGCTGCATGCAATGAGCCCGTCCGGAATATAAAGAGGTGAGTGCCTAAATTGAAACATGTCGGAAGTCATCAGTCGACACATATTTTTGTGGGAATTGGACACGCCGTTCCCGGTTTTCACTGAGACACCTCAGCCCAAAATGAACGTTTTCCTACTGACGTGCTCAAGGTGTGCGGACCTATACACTCGAGAGGCTATGAACTTCGTAATATCGCAACAACAAAACCCTGTGTCGTACTTCATTTCAACTTCATAGCTGTAA